TCGGAAATTTACCAGTATAGATCTCAGACTGAGGTGTTTTCTTTAAATGCTACTCTTATGGCCACCTCCTCAGAAGAGATTTCCTGGGCTCTAGAGAAATAATTATTCCAGTGCGATGGTTAACAAGTCTTAGGCCCCTTCTACGTTGCCCTATATTCCAGGATATGATCCCAGATTATCTGTCGATCCCAGATTATCTGGCAGTTCATATAATCCAGTTCAAAGCAGATAACCTGGGATCAGATCTTGGGATATAAGGACAATGTAGATGGGGCATTAGATAGTCATATACTACTCTTAAATCTCAGGCATAAAGAGTTTGCTAGGCTAACACTAGCAAACTCAATTTTACAAAATATTATTCACAAAACAATCAAAGAATACTTGCAAACTGTAGCATCATTACAACGAGTCAGTACCAGATGCTCACATAAATATAGCAATGGGAGAGATAAAAGCAGTTTTAAATAATCTATATGCAAATGATACACAACTCTATTTGTCTCCTCAATCTGGTCCCAAAGAAACTGCCGAAAGTGGAAATTGTTCAAGGAAGTGTGTGACTTCCTGGAACTGGAGAGAAACTGCCCCAAAAAAGGAAGGTTAGACACTGGTCTGTAATTATTAAGGTCCAAGGAGGGCTTTTTCAGCAGCAGTCTAACTACTGTTTTTTTTTAAACAGGGTGGAAAATTCACTTTCCTAAGAGATAATAATAATAATAATAATAATAATAATAATAATACTTTTATTTTTTCCCCGCATCTCCTCACGGCTCGAGGTAGGTTACAGGTTTACTAAAACATAAACAAACACAATCTTTTTAAAACACTCCATAAAAAAAGGTAAAGGTTTTCTCCGACATTAAGTCTAGTCATGTCTGTCTCTGGGAGTTGGTGCTCATCTATATTTCTAAGCCAAAGAGCTGGCATTGTCTGTAGACACCTCCAAGGTCATGTGCTGGCATGACTGCATGGAACACTGTTACCTTCCTGCCAGAGCAGTACCTATTGATCTACTCACATTTGCTAGGTTGGCAGAAATACTCCATAAAATACATATTTTAAAACATATTTCCACAAAACAAAAAAAAATAGGCATACAGTGTTAAAATTCATCATTAAAACTTTCTGGGAGATGAATTGATAATTTGTTGGATTTGAAATCTAATTGCATCTCCTCCCTGGATGACCAACTAAGATGGACAGGGATGAAGTAATTAAATTGTCTTCCTTACTTGCCCCGACAACTTGTCCACATCAAAAGTACTCAATAACTGAAACTAATCCAGTGTAATCTCATTCAGAGTGGCTGGACACCTCATTGTTGACTTCTGCTCCAATGATAGCATCTAAGTTAGCTCTTATGTGAGAGATTTTATCTGCAAAATCGTTATTAAAGGCATCACAGTGAACTACTGATGGTTCTATAAATGGCTTCAGAGGGGAAGGCACCTGCGTTAAGACTCTCACCACTCTGAACAGCTCAGTTGGACATGAATCCGCAAACACAATATATGCAGAGAACGAAGCTTTCTTCGCTATGTGTATTGCCACCTTATAGCAGTGAAGAGTTCCTCTATATCATGTCTTGTCACATAAAAGTCTACTTTTCTACCATTTGCACTCTAGTCATCATCCTTCTAGTTTCATTTCCCTGACATATTTCTAAATATGTCTGACTCTCTTAACCTTAACCCTCACTTCACTCATTCTTTTCTCTTCCTAACCAGCTATATCAACTGTAACCCACATACCAACTGCCATCCCAGCTGTCATTCACCAATTTTATTCAGATGCCTTCAAGCATTCCACCAATCACCACTTATTTTCACCTTTCCAGTCTTTTGCCTATTTTCAATAAAGTGAACAACTCAAGTAATTTAGTTAATATTTAATAAAATAAGCATCATTTTACACCACAAATCTATGATATCACATCCATTTTCTAAGAAGGCAATTTGCTCCACTGCTGAACAACAGTTCAAAGCATCAGGGCATTCTTGCTAATGTGTAATTCAATCCATCCACCCACCTTGCTTTTGAAGCCATTCATTCAAGTCCTTCACTCAGGAAGAACAGAAAACAGATATTCTTAATTATCTATGAGACATGCATTCATCTATCTGACAATGGCTATTGTGCCATTAATTGTTTCCTCTCCAGGCTAAACATGCTTAGTATCTACAATCTCTCCTCAAAACACTTCTTTGTCCTCTTCTTCTGCTTAACACATGCAAGTCTGTCAATAATTTTCATAAACTATAGTACCCAGAATGCAACACAATACTTTAAGTGAGGTATAACCAAAGTGGGAAGATTATTTCTTGCGACATAACACTAGGCTTCTGATAACTAGCTTTATCAGCGACTACTATGCAGTACAGGCAGTCTGCAAATTACAATTATCCTACTTAAAAACAAGGGTGAGACAACAGAAAGTGAGAGAAATCTACCCTTAGGAAGCAAAATTTACTCCTGAAATTCACTTGTCATGGGGAAAAGGTGTCTCAACTGAAGCTGTATCACCAATTCTTGTTTCCACAACAAGCAAAATTTTTCAAAATCCAATGATCACCGGGTCAGAAAGTGGGGTGAAATCTTCTGTACAAGCACACAGATAGCAAAAGAAATACCACAGGCATGTTAACCCTTTCCCTATGATATCCAAAGTTACAAAATATATATTTTTGGCTGGAGTTACACTTAAAAAATTTACTTGTTCTGACTTACAAACAAATTCAGCTTAAGAACGAACCTACATTAATATAATCCATTAATATTTTTATATTCTTTCCACTTCAACTACTGTCAATGTATTTGTGTAATTTATTTTTCCCGCCTTTATGTAGTACATTAAATTTATCTCTATTCAATACCATTTTAGTATTTAGGACCCGATCTCCATCTTGCCAACAGTGAAAGAATTGAATGAAGTCACAGATTTTGGGAACTTTACAAAAATTCAATTCACCCAAAATAAGAACTCTGAACACTCATGGTTGTATACTGAATAATTCATTTGGTCAAAAATTATTCTGGAACTTGACAACAGAATGTATACACATATACAATACATTATGTAAATGCTTTGAAATACTGTTAGTTAATCTGTAACTTTGCTTCATTAACTGTATGTCTTATTTGCTATTTCAATAAAATTGCAATTAATTTTAAAACATAGTCTTAAAACCTGCTTCCATCCAAAGTATTAATACTTTAATACTAAATTAATACTAAAGAAGTAATCAAAAAGTTTAGTGTAATCTGCAATTAGACAAGTATCATCTCTATTCTTTGGTACAATCATCATCATCATCTTTATTTATACCCCACCACCATCTCCCCAAAGAGGACTCAGGGCAGCTAACATGAGGCCAAGTCCAAAAATAATACAGCAAAGTTTAACACAAAATAACGGAAAAAATTACATCACAACAAAATACATGAACAAAATAAAATAAACAGTGCAAAACAACATAATAAAAATCAAACACAAAGGGTGGGCCAAATTTGTAAGATAAAATGTTAAAATGTTAAAACGTTAAAACCCTGGGTGAGATAGGAATAGAAAAAAGTGTATTTATGAGGAAGGAGCCCAAGAAGGAGGAGCATTAAGACAGAACATCCCCTGTACTGCTTTGTTTCCACAATGGACAGTTCTTTCATGCTTTGTTTACTTTTATTTGATTTATAGCTTGAAGTTCTTCCAACACAAGACCTAATGCAGCTCAGTAAAATAAAATAGTATGTGGAACAAAAGTTGAAAAATCATTAAACAATCATTACAAACAAAATATTAATTTGTAAACAACTCCAACGTATTAAATACATATAACATATGAAACCAGCACACTCAGTATACATTTATCTATTCCAGTCACTCAAAAGCGGAAGGCCTATTTTGAATAAAAGGGTTTGCCAGTAAGAGAAGAACAGAGAAGGTGCTTCCACTGGAGGGAGTTCAACAGCTTAGGAGCAACTATTGATTAAGTTTTTGTTGGTGAGTACCTTCAAGTCATATCCAGCTTATGACAACCCTAAGGCAAACCTAGCACAGTGTTTTCTTGACAAGATTTTTCAGAAGCAGCTTTCTATTCCCTTTCTCTTGCCCAAGATCACCCAGTGAGTTTCTATGGATGAGAAGGGATTCAAACTCTAGCCTTCAAGTCATAGCCCAATGGCCAGACTATTACTGGGAACTGGCGCTCCCAGTAAGAAAGGACTTATTGGTTACCACTATTTGGAATCATAGAATCATAGAATCAAACAGTTGGAAGAGACCTCATGGGCCATCCTGTCCAACCCCCTTCCAAGAAGCAGGAATATTGCATTCAAATCACCCCTGACAGATGGCCATCCAGCCTCTGTTTAAAAGCTTCCAAAGAAGGAGCCTCCACCACACTCTGGGGCAGAGAGTTCCACTGTTGAACGGCTCTCACAGTCAGGAAGTTCTTCCTCATATTCAGATGGAATCTCCTTTCTTGTAGTTTGAAGCCATTGTTCCTTGTCCTAATCTCCAGGGAAGCACTGTAGTTGTCTGCCCTCACCTTAGCTCAGTTTCTGATGTGACTGATTATGATATTTTTATCACACCTTTCAGGATACCAATCTTTCTAGGCTCCTTTACAAGTAATATTAACATTCATTATAAAAGTCACAAAGATATCAATGTACAAAAAGTCATAAAGATATTTGCCACAAAGCAACATGAAGTCCTCTAGAGGGGAGGGAACAGTCCAGCTAAATAAAACTATACATCCTCTTTGTTTGCCTTACTCTTCCATTTGAGGTCTGGATAAAATGGTTAAGATTACAAGATGCCACATCTACAAATATGAAGAAGATATCTTCTTGATCACAGCACAGACATGAATATAGATATCACAGGTGCTTGCGTGCCATTTATCAGCTAAAGAAAAGAGTACCACAAAAATTTAAAGTCTATCTCATGTAAAGCTAAAAATGTATGACTGCAAGATGAAGTGAGACAAAACACTCACCAATGCTAATTTCATCGTCTGTTTCAGCATCTCCAATGCATTCAAACTGAAAATCTTGAAGCGACTGAGAAAATTTTTGCACTGCCATTGATAAATCTGTAAAAGAAAAATATCTAAAATTACTGTGGTGCTTATTTTTAGAGAACAGACATTCATTATAATAGTCACCTGATCTATTTATTTAATTTTCTGGAATAAATAAAATTAAAAAGAATGATTACACAAACAATCAAAAGCTTCATCCCCCTCTCAAACATTACTTTCAGGTAATTAAGATAGGAATGTTTTATCTCTTTCTAATAAGCACATTTTTCAGATGATTCAACAGAGACATTTATAGGTTTCTATGTTCCTTTCTTTGAACACTTCATCCAGTCCAATTTTATAGGCTCGATTAATTCATTCATTTGAAAGAAAGAGTCGAACAATTGCTTTATTTCATTAGGTGTGTAATGCAAGTTTAAGAATTTTACAAAAATAAATAGTGAGGTTAGATATTTATGTATCGTATCAGAAGCGAGCCAAGAGTACAGTTATAATGTATTTAAAAACCACCAAGTTTTAAAAACTTCACATCATACTAAATGTCCTTTGACCAGTAACTGGCCACTGGGAGTGCACCTCGTGTTGCTATAAGAAGGTCCTCCATGTGGCAGGGCTCAGACTGCATTGTAATAGCAGTCTGTGGTTTGCTCTTCTCCACACTCGCATGTTGTGGACTTCACTTTGTAGCTCCACTTCTTAAAGTTGGCTCTGCACCTCATGATGCCAGAGTGCAGTCTGTTTAGTGCCTTCTAAGTCACTCAGTCTTCTGTGTGTCCAGGCGGGAGTCTCTCATTTGGTATCAGCCATGGCTTGAGGTTCCGGGTTTTAGCCTGCCACTTTTGGACTCTCGCTTGCTGAGGTGTTCCTGAGAATATCTCTGTAGATCTTAAAAACTATTTCTTGATTTAAGGTGTTGGCATGCTAGCTGATATCTGAACAGGGGATGTGCTGGAGATGTCACTGCCTTGGTCCTTTCATTATTGGGTGCTACTTCCTGGCGCATGTCAGGTGGTGCAATACCAGCTAAACAGTATAATTTCTCTATTGGTGTAGTGCATAGATATCATGTGATAATGTGGCAGGTTAGATAAGTTTAGATGAGGTCAGAGAATAATGTGGTCATTATACATGTGGCCATTCAAATTAGAGAAGTTACAAAACATGTGCTCCACCTTCAATCTTTACACACCATGCTTCTTGATTCACAGAGTGGAAACGCAGAAAAGATTCAGTTGCAAAGAAAGTGTTTTCATATACAATTGGCCCTCCTTATTCATGGATTCTGCATCCGTGGATCAATTCATTACTTTAATTTTTTTAAAAAAATCCAACAAGTAAACCATGATTTTCTCATTTCATACAACGGACATAATTTTGATACCCCATTAAACATAATGGAGCATCACCATCCATGGATTTGGAGCCTAAGAACCAAAGCTGAGCAGATACCAAGGTATCATTGTGCTAAAATGTCAGGTCATTGTAAGTCAAGAGGCAATTTGAACACACACACATAAATACACACACACACGATTCAATGATTGATTTAATAACTATCCATCTATTACTGTTCTTGCAGTAGATCAGTAATACTCCTTATTAATCTTTAACACACAACACATTTCAAGAGTTAGTGAAGTGTACATATTGGTTAGGAAGGAAAGAGAAATGACGAGAAGTGTCAAATGGAATTCAAGAGTAGAAGCAAAGTAAACAAGAAAGCGGCATGTAACCATTTCAGTTGTGTGTGCTCAGGCTTAACTGTGAATGACTAGTGCTTATGCTTGTCAACTAGAGATAAAAAGCAAGGTAATTCTGATTCTAACTTGGCTCACAATTGGTTCAGTCTTATCACAATACAAACTGAAACTTTCTCATTTTCACAAAGTACAGCTCTGGCAATAACTAGACAGCCTTTCGGAAAAACGTCTACAACAATTGCTTGCCTGGAAAATATTTTTACAAGCCTATCTGCCATATTTACATATGGTAATCTCCCATGGCTCATCACTTAAAAAGAAGGAACCAAGATTCTCACTGATTGACTAGAAGCAATTTTTACTTGACACAATCTGGAAGGTAAACTGACTCACCAATCCACTGTCTGTTATTTGAGCACAAATGTACCACCATTAACTATAACTGTGGTTTTTTAATGACGCAATTGTTTTGGAAAGGTACTGTTACTCATTTCCTTGGCTCATTTCTTTTTAAATCTAATTGTAAGGCCTGGTCTTCCATCACAAAAGCCCAGCATTTCAGTGAATCATTCCTATTTATAAAACCTTTAATTGGACCAAGCACAACAAAACCCCCACTGTGTTTCCTAATACAACTAACTTTTAATTTGGTAATTGTCGTAAGTATAAAGTTCATATTACAGTTTTGCTTCAATAAAGTTAAAAACAACCAATATGTGACCTGTAAACAGCTTTTTACAACAGAAATGTATCTTTATCCATTTCTCTTGAAGTGAACAGGATACCATCAGTGCTGTAACTTTTAGGACAAAGTATATTGAGCTGGGATGTTACAATCTCATTTCCAGCCTACTTGTTTGAACTGGAGACTTATGAACATAAAAAACAAGAAAAACAAAGCCACAGGAAGTAAAATGAAACACATCATTCAACGTATCAGCCTTTTTAGTTATATGATCTTACATTTCCTTCTGCAACCTAAAATTCACCTCTTGAGGAAAATGTTTCCCAAATGGGAATTTGTCCAACTGCTTCACCTCTATGAATTGTGCTCACTATAGCCCTTTCTTTCCAATACCCAAAGAACACATTGCAAACTGAATTATGATTATTAAAAAAAGAATCTCGGCTAGTAGTCTCCTTGATATACTGAGTCCATGCACAGTCTCTGTATTTTACTTAATATATGTTTTCTATTACAAAAGGTATTGATTAAATGTGAAGACTTGGAGGAGGAGGCTTTCTAATCCTAGGTACATCTACTCAATGGATGTTCCTATTTGGCAGTTTCACATCTGTGCTGCACAGCACAAAAATGCATGTTTTGACAAAGAAACATTAACATTATTATTCTTTCTAAATGCATTTCAGAGTGACCTGGAATTCCCCTGTAATAGTTGAAGAAATAGTTGAAAACTTTTCCTGAAAGACAGATTGCTCATTGAATTAAATTTAAAGAAAGTATTCTAACAGGTAGTACTTGAAGGGCCAGTGTCTCTGCCAACACAGATTGCCCCTGGCAGGGAAGAAAAAAGACAGCTTCCTGGTCTAGTTGAGCTTCCATGAATGACAAGGAGCTTTGGAACATTCCTACATCCTCTTGACTATCCCTGAATTCTTCCTTCTGGTTTACCCAGTTGTGACTTATTCTTTGGTTCTGACTTTGTCCATCTCATTTGATCTTGCTGCCATGACAACTGATTCAAGTTGTACTCAGATGTGCTTTAATTCATAATTCATCAAGATTCTTATAAATGCATCTCTGGTTATTATTCCATAACAATTTGTGGACAAAGTATTAAAATATATAGTCAGCCCACTACTGTTTGTGGGAATTAGAAGTGCGGGGGCCCACAAAAATTGAAAAACCAAACCAAAATGCATCTCTCTCTCTCTCTCTCTCTCTCACACACACACACTCACACACACACACACACACAGAGTGCACTCACTCACTTGGACAGATGGGACAGGAATAATGGGAGAAGGGAAGTTAGGTGATGGGCAAGTCTGTGGGAAGGATGGATGGTGTACTGCCATTGTAAAAGTAGCTGCTGCAGTACCTTTCCATAACCTTTGTCCTACCTTTGTCACTGACACCAACCCTTGCTCCCATCTTGGCTTTCTCCTATTCCTCCCCATCAGCCTGCTTCCTCTGTGTGCCCTGGATACCACCAACTCATCCCTCCTTCTTTGTGCTCCCCCATTCCATCCCCTTTCCACCTGTTGCCTTTAGTGAGTACACCAGGCCATGAATGTGCTCCACTTTCCCTGCCCTCAATCCCATTCCCCTTCTCAATACCTGTGTCTGAGGAAACACACATGTATAATCTCCATCCTATCCCTTTCTCCCAACCATGTGATCAAGAGGCAAGGGAAAGCACATGTGTACCCATACTAACACTCCTAGCATTTTCCTATTCCATTCCTCTTGCTCATCAACTGAGTGAGTGAACATACATACACATACCTTGTCTTCTCATTCCTCTATCCCATCCCCTTCCCTCTGCCAGCCTGAGAGAATTAGTAAGCAAATGTGTTATCCTCATTAAAATCCCATGAACATACCTGATCTTATCAGGAAGGCTTATCAGGAAGCATGTTAGGTACTTTCAAACAACTATGTTGTGCCAAATACAGAAGGAGTATTTTTTTCCCCTCAACACCTCCACGATGACTAACTCTAGATTGCCATTTTCAGTCCTGTTCTTTGTATAAAAATTCTCCATTACTGAAAACTAACCACAAAATTGCTCATTTTGTGGGAAGTCTAGGTCCAAACTTAGAACTCAACATGAGGGGTGAATGAAATACTGTAATGTTAAGATTTCCTAAAAGTATTGTAAAATGCTAATACTAAGCTATCCACTTATTTGATGATACAACCATTTGGAATTGACAATAAATCACTCTTAGATCTCAATAAATATTCCTTTTTGGATGCTTCCAGATTGTTTTGAGTAGGGGAGGACAAGTCTTTACAGAATAAAAGCAAGTAATGGAGAGCTACATCGACCAATAATCACACAAAAGAGGGGAATTCACGTGTGCTATAGGAATTAACTTTATTCCTTCTGAAAATCCCATTTCTGGTTTATAATCTCTCTGATTCTCCCTTCATGTTGCTGTACATGTCAAGGTTTCTAAAAAGTCCAATGTGCTGTCCTCATTCTGAATACAATCTATGGAGTGCCTCTCCTCATAAAAGCTCAATTGTTACAAATAGTGGTAGTCATGCTGCTGCATAGAGTATGCTTCTCATTAAAAAGCCGCAGTCCATAGACAGCTTGATATGTCAAGTTAGAAACATATGGCTTCTGGAGGATTTATAAACGGAAATTGTATCACAGC